CAAATGCAAACACACTCGCATATTTATACCATATATATGTATGTATATTTAGATATGTGCGCGCATATCTCTATGACTGACAAAGTGCCAGTGCTTGTTTGTTTTATGCCCTTCTAACTTAATGAGCACGATTATAGGCACATGAAATGTAAATAATATTATCACATTATAGGTTACAAGATGAAATGGATGGATACTCCATAGGAGCAGCTAAAAGCGATTGTAGCATGGCCTTGCTTCCCAGTCTGTGGGGTACGAGGATTTATTAATTGCGTAGGCAATTTTATATAAGCCTGGGCAATAATGGCAAAAAAAAAGGGAGGAAGGTGGGGAATCAAAAACATTAAATAAATAAGTCATGCCTAGGGCTTAGAAGAGCCTACATACCGAACTTGGTAAATGTGGGCTCAGTCGTTTTCGAAATACAGGCGTTCATCCAGACAGACGGATTGATTGCTCTCTGTATTGGAGTTGCTCCTTTCTCCATGTTTAACCCTTCAGGTACGGTGTTTAAAAAACAAAAAAAAAACATCTGCTGTTAAGCCTTTAATTTTGAAACTAAACTGAACGAATCTTAAAAGGACCAGACTTTGTATTATTTTTCTTCAAGCGGGACTGATTACATTATTGTAGCAAATCATTCGAATAAATTATAAAATAGTTGCCTAGAAGCATACATTTGAATAAAAGTTCAGTTGTTAACGAAACTTCGAAAACTTATGCATATCAGGAAATATATTTAAAAACATAATAATTACATTAGTTGTTAACATTTTTAAACCAAAACTGTTAACCATTCTAGGTGGAGCTGTTAAGGAAAATATTTAGTTAAAGGGATTCAATGTTTTGCGGCTTAAAAAAACTAGCTACTACTAATAAAGCTCAACTATTTCTGCAGTTTATATATTTTGTTTGATATTCTGAAGAAGTGCATTTATTCATTACTTCCGCAAGTTACTCAACAAACATAGCCATGCATTGCAGCTTAAATAAGTAGCGGCGAGCGAACAACAAGTGAGGAACTAAAGGCAGATATAGATATATATGTATAAATGTATATATATATAAATATATATATATATATATATATATATTGTACATAAGTGTTGGCACTTCTTTTCTTATTCTTGGCCACACAGCTAGCTCGGTATCGATTCCCTGACAACAATGTGCGCATATCATGGGGCAAAGTAAACCAATTTCGTTGCACATTTGTTACTGAGAGTGGCAAGCAGGCCAAGGAAGACAGCACACACACACGCATACACACACACATACAAGTACATACATACTATACGAATGTATACCTATACACACAACAGCTGCCAGTCAGCTTTTCAAATACCCATTGAAAAGTGTTAACAATCACTGTGATGTTTGTAGGAATTGCATATGAATCGTAGCTGTGGAAACCGAACTGAAGAAGTAAGTAAGTAGTCGTATTTACAATGAAGGCGATGACGAACTTCAAGACCTTGTGGCACAAATGCCTTGGATTTTCTTCCCCCCATCCCCGACCAGTCAATTGAATGGCAACGGAAATGCGACAGACAAGCCTTTAACCGACTAAAATGTCTCCTTCTTCTACTAACTATACACCTTATCTTGAAAGTACCTAGCAGGTTGCCTTCCTTGATAAGTCGGAAGGGTCTTAAAACTGTAAGAAGACTGACATTAAATTAGACCAGTTCGGTATTTAGTTACAAAAATATTTATACTCTAATTATACCCTGTACCCGTAGGGTAAAAAGGGTATATTAGGTTTGTGCAAAGTATGTAACATGCAGAAGGAAGCATCTCCGACCCCATAAAGTATATATATTCTGAATCAGCATGACGAGCGAAATCGATCTAGACATGTCCGTCCGTCCGTCTGGATGAACGCAAGGATCTCAGAAACTATAAAAGCTAGAATATCCAAAGTTGGCATCCAGGTTCTCCTAGGGCCGAGAAAGGACGAGTTTATTTTATTTTTTGGAATTTTTCCCCCCTTCCCCCGCTACAGAATTTCGTCAATAGCGTCCACATTTCAAATGCTACCTAAACCAAACTAGCACATATCATATATATATAATTATCTACTGTTGTTTAAAATTTTATTTAATTCGGTCAATTCTAAGAAAAGTTATTAGCGAAACAAATTCTCGCCAGTACAACCCCCACAAACTGCAGCAACAAGTTCGCTCTTCTTCTTCCTCTTTTTGCTGCTGCTATGGGGGAATATACCTCAATGTCGGAAGTTTACCTGGGTACAGGGTATTACACTGTCGGGCTTGCTCGACTGTAGCGTTCTCTCTTGTTTCATTTAGCTCCATCGCACAATTTTTTGCATTTATATATCCTATATTTAAGTTGTATCCAATACAAGTAGTAGTAAGTTTTTTGTAATTTTATATCCTATATTTAAGTTTTATCTAATAGTAGTAAGTTTCTTAAGCATAAGACTTAACTTGTAAAACACTTTGAGTTCCAAGGCATTCTCTTTTTATGCGAATATATGAGTATATGAATAAGGGATGAACAGAGATAAAAAGTAAAGTCGGTTTTTTGCAATATACCCGTAAATACATCTGTAGAATTAGTGCTTTTTATACCCAGTACCGGAAGGGAAAAAAGGGCATGCTAGGTATGCAACAGTTAGAGAGAAGCATCTCCACCCCAGAAGGTATTTATATTCTTAGCCGGCAATTTACAAAGCCGTGCAGTTTTTAGTTTTAATAGAAAATTAGGATACGAATTTCCGGTCTCTCCTCTAAGGCCATATTTTATTTGCAATATTGAAGCAAAAACCGAATAGTTTTCTGGCAAAACAACTATTTATGACACTGAAGTGAAAGTGTTAAACAGTTAGGGATCCTTAGATATTTGTAGCCATCACCACTTGTACAGCCCGTAATAAAACAAAATAGTCTTGCATTTTCCTCAATTCAATGACAGACAACCCATCCGCAGATAAAAAATCAAGTGTGTAAATCGTTATTGTTGTGGTTGTTGTTTCTATTCGTTCGCTCCCTAATCTGACCCATAAGGGAATAATAACAAATAAATAATACACGAGGCGCTGAGGCCAACGAACTGTTCTGGCTCGAAAAGGTGAGAGCCGAGTTTTTGGCTGCCAAACTGCTTCCCTTCTAATTAATTATTAAAGTGTTTGTCCAGCAACCACGTGTGTACTTGCGTGTGTGTGTTTCTATTGACAGAGTTGTGTTTATTGTTGAACGATTTTATGGAGCATCCATGGCAATTATGTGGGTCGTGCTTGGGTGTCTCTGACCATTATGCGGTGAAAGGGCACACAAATAATAGCAATATTGGCTAACTAGCTATGCAAAACGATTTCAATTAGCAACCATGTACAAGTATGTAAGCTATTTGTCAACGAAATTTTCTATAACCAAGCCAAAATCGGCCAGTTGTTAAGTGGCTTATATTTCACTTCATTTACAGAGCGGACGAGCTTGTCATACTTATGTACTTGTATTTCTGTACATATACTTGTAGTATATGTACTTTATATGTATGCACACATGTACTATAAGCAATATAAGCACTTGCTTCAATTACTCAAGTAGTCAATGCCTTTGCAGAGCAGCAACAACTGCAGTTGAGCCTCGCTATAACATCCACCAAACCACTTTTTACACCCTGCATCTGATAAAAGGGTAGACCTCCATTATCGGGACTCAATATAATCCTTCTCAAAACACAATTAAAAATTAAAAACAAAATATATATAAATAAAAGTTAAAAAAAAATATATTTATAAATAAAAATTAGAAAAATAATATAGAAAAATAATAATAACAAATAATATTAAAAAATATATATATAAATAAAAAATTCCAAAAATATTATAAAAAATAGAAAAATAATATTTAAAAAATATTTTTATTATAAAAAGTATTAAAAAAAAAAAAAATATATATATATATATATATATATATATATATATATAAAGTATTAAAAAAATATACAAGTAAAAAATATACAATTCAAAGATATTTAAAAAAATATATATATACAAAGAAAAAAAAAATATATGTATATATGTTATTAAAACATCAAAACATGAATTAATGTTAATTAAATTAAATTTGTAATTAAACTAAATGGAATTACATTAGAAATAAATATGTAATGTAATCTGATACTTGTAACTCGGATAATGTTTATAAATAAATAAATACATTTTAATAACTATTTAAAAAAAATTTTTTCTATTCATTCTTTCTACAGTGTGTCTAAAACATTATTACTTTTGTTCAGTTTATGTTTTGTAGAAGATCTTTTGAAAGTTGATACTTTTTTAACGAAATTTTCAAATTAGAAAGTCTGTTTGGAATTATTTTGTACAAAATTTTGTGATACTAGCAACAAGATTATATATATCCCAATGATATAATGTTGGATTACTTTTTTGTACTACTTGCTATTAAGGGGGGGCTCTTGGCGAGCCTGCTCTTTCCACATTTCGTTTCATAGCAAGCGAGTGCCTTCATTTGGTAAGCCTTTGTTCCTTTTTGCGAGTTCTTACTGTAGCGCACACTGAATAAGATAAATTTTCTTGGGTGTAGTGTACGTTGAAGTGTAGTCGAAGGCTCGTCCTCGTTGTCAGCGTTGTCTTTTGGCGTTGCCTTTGCCATTCATTGCGCGCCTCTCGTACTTATTTTTAAACGTATTAAGGAAGCCTCACTACGCAGCGGAGAACAAGGAGCAGCGGCAAGAGCAGGAGCAAAAGGCAACGCATTGCAGCGACGAATGAATAAGTGATACATATTGTGTAAGGAAAGAAAGCAGGCGAGCAGGCGAGCAGACGAGCTGGGAAGCAGGCAACCGGGTAGGCCAGAAGAGGAGTTAATGGGGTAGTGGGTGGATGGCGGGACAAAAGGTACAGAGTCTGTCTGATATGCTGGAGCAGTTTTATGGCTTTCCTTGGCATGATTTTAATAGAAGGGTGCACAGCTTATGTTTACATTGGACTGATGAGTGGGGTGGCAAGGAGTGGCAAGGAGTTTCCCTTTTGCCTGCGTCTTACTTGTCAAATTTTCAGTTTATGTTGTACATTCCATTGTACTTCATACAAATTTCTGACAATTCCAGACCTACCACAACACACATACATACATAGCACCGGCATATATTACAGGTACAGATACAGATACACACACCAACACACACACACACACGCAGTGCAGCCATTTAGACCGAAGAAGGGATAAATTCAAAATTCCGCGTGTTATTAAGCAGAATTAGATGAGAGCCGAAAAGAGTGTCGAAAAATGTGTCTGGAAACGCCGCATCAGCCCAACAAAGTGCTTGACATCATCAGGCAGGGCTACATCATCCTGGCCGAGTACAATCTGATCGAGCAAGAGCAGCTGCGTGGCATCTATGCCATTCCCAGCTATTCGAGTGGCGTTCACTGGTTCGGTGTTATCTTCATAAGGAGCGGCCTCTATGCGGAGAGCATGTTCCGATTCTCCATACTGTTGCCCGACAATTTTCCCGACGATGTCGTCCTACCCACTGTGATCTTCCAGACAGATGTCTTCCATCCGCTCATCTGTCCGGTGACGCACAGCCTGGATCTAACTTCCGCTTTCAGAGAGTGGCGCAAGGACGAACACCACATCTGGCATTTGCTCCGCTACATTCAGGCCATATTCGCTGATCCCGAGGGCAGCGTCTGCTCAGCCCAAGGCTGTGTGCGACTCAGCCAAGTGATAATGGGGCCCCATCGCGAGGTCCACAACATGGACGCCTTACGTCTGCTGGCCCGCAGTCGTATGGAGTATCTGGCGCGGGTCCAGCAGGGCATCGAATGGAGTGTTGCTCATATGTACGATGATCCGCCGACCGATGATCCGCACTACATTGTGTTCGAGCCCTACAATCCGACCCTACACCAGCATGTGCTGGAGTGCCTCAAGAGCCGCAGCTGGCATGATCCGGTGGCGTCCTCATCGCTGGCTGGCCGACTTAAGGTGGTACGCTCGAAAAGAACGCCAGGCTTCGGGCCAAACGCGTCGACGCCAGAGCAGGAAATAGAGGAGGTACAGCAACAGGGGCCAAGTGCTGAACAAGTCCAGATTTCGTAGCGACCTCACAATTAAACACTTTTCTATCCAGATTTTGCAAAATCGATCAGTAATCAAAACAGCTGACATTTCTTTATTCAGTAAAAGCAAGCAGAAAATATACAAGTAGTTCATCTCTGGAACGGCCAAGTTATTTTTAAACGTTTTCTTTAAAGTTGGAAGCTGAGGCTATTTGATTATTGGGAAGAACATGTTCTAGTCTTTGTCTCTGAAACATCTAGGCATCTGTTTCATTTTATTTTCAAACTTAAATGTACTTTAAATGTAGTTTAATTTTGGGGCTATTTAATTATTAGGAAGAAAATGTTAAAATTCGCTAAAACATAGTTTATTTCTGAAACATTATCTATTACATGTTGTCTATAAAGTTAAATGTTGGGGCTTTTTAATTATTTTGGAGACAAAATTCTAGTGTGCTTAACTATAGTTCGTCTCTAAAATATCTAAGCAACTGTTTTACTTTATTTTGAAACTTATAAATTATTTCTGTTTCTCTTAAGGCTTTTTTATTATTTGGGAACAAATTCCACTCCACTAAACTATAGTTTGTCTCTGGAACATCTAATTTTCATCTCATTTTTAGACTTCAATACTCTTTTTAAATGTTGTCCAACGCATTCCTATATGCTCGCCCATTGGTTACGTTTTTTATGCTTTATGCAAACCAATTCTTGCCTTCAGATTAAGAAAAAAAACACCATTTTTATACCCTGTACCCGTAGGGTAAAAAGGGTATATTAGGTTTGTGCAAAGTATGTAACATACAGAAGGAAGCATCTCCGACCCCATAAAGTATATATATTCTTGATCAGCATGACGAGAGAAATCGATCTAGACATGTCCGTCCGTCTGTCCGTCCGTCTGTCCGTCCGTCTGTCCGTCTGGATGAACGCGAGGATCTCAGAAACTATAAAAGCTAGAATAACCAAAGTTGGCATCCAGATTCTCCTGGGTCCGAGTAAGGACGAGTTTATTTTTTTTTTTTTAATTTTCCCCCCCTTCCCCCGCTACAGAATTTCGTCAATAGCGTCCACATTTCAAATGCTACCTAAACCAAACTTTGCACACATAATTTATATATAATTGTCTATTGTTGTTCAAAATTTTATTCAATTCGGTCAATTCTAAGAAAAGTTATTAGCGAAACAAATTCTCGCCAGTACAACCTCCCCAAACTGCAGCAACAAGCTCGCTCTTCTTCTTCCTCTTTTTGCTGCTGCTATGGGCGCATATAACTCAGTGACGGAAGTTTACCTGGGTACAGGGTATTACACTGTCGGGCTTGCTCGACTGTAGCGTTCTCTCTTGTTTAAAGTTGGAGAGGAGTTCATTTGATATCCAAATGTTCTGCTCCTTAAGGGTTTGCCATCAATCTTTCCATTTTCCATTCTCGTTTGCCAATTCATGTAAAAGTACGGTTGCTTCGTTTACTGTTGATTAATTTTGCGTCGTCTTTAGCAGCCATTTCATACAATTCTGTGCCATTTTAGCTTGAATGCTTTATGTTTGGCATCACTCTATACCTTTAGCTTATACCTTATTTCTATAATCACGCAGAGAGATTACTGCCAGCATTCAGGAAAGACATTTTCATTTGTGCAACTATCCGCTACAACGTCTCCCCTTTAAGTTCTTTTGAGCATTCCCACAACCCCAAACATTCACCACAAATATCATTAGGCAAATATTTTCTTGCACACATTGTAAGCCAGAGAACAAACAGCAACTAAAAATTTCAAAAAGGCATGCAGATCAGAATACCAACGACTGCGTCTGTCGGGGGCGGAGGGGGGCGTGGGGGGACGTTTGCTGGACACCATCAGAAAATATGTACGAGTATGTAATGGCGCTTTTCTGCAAAAGTTGCAGTTTGTTTTGACTACACAGTGCAAAGTATACATAAAGCCAGACCGGACCAAGCCCCGAACTCAGACCCAGACCAAGGGCCTGGGCCCGGGCCCGGGCTCCGGCACAGACGCAGACGCACACCCGTGAGCATTCAGTGGGGCGTGGCAGAAATGATGGCAGCCAAGTGCAAGTGCACAGCCAGTTTTCATTCCGCTTAACAGATTTGGAACTTAAAGTTTTCTTTACCGCTTGCATTTCTTTTCGCACAACACCAAAGTTATTGTTGTTGCTCTTTCACAAAAAAAGCTGCTGCTCTTCTTGCTGTTGTTGTTGTTATTGCTGCTCTAGCTGCTGCTGTCGAATTCATGTTGGACGCAAATTTATGACTGCCAAAAAGTGCAGGAACTAAAAAAGTTCAACTGCTTAGAGAGAGGGAGAGAGAGAGAGAGGGAGGGAGAGCGACAAAGTGAAAACGGAAAAACTACAATTTTAAGCTTTGACACTTGGCTGCAGGAACAAAAAGTGTTGCATAATTTATGGCGTTGCAGGCTGGTAATAAAGCCAAAAGTTATGTTTACACGGATAAGTTCGATTATGCAGGAAATTAGCTCCATAAACCATACACATCCAACTAGCACCCACAATCGCAAAAAGAGCTCGTGTACAAGATAATTGATTCCGTTATTCATTTAGTCACAAATACTCGTAGATATATAATCGTATTTTAAAATAGATCCAGTGCCTAGGCAGTCTCCTCGAGTGGTCAAGCATTGCCAATTTCTACACACAGTGGAGAGGAATTGTGTCCTTCAAGCTTGAAAACTGTGGCCCACTTAGCAATCTTATTGCTGAAGAGGTCCCAAGAAAATGACAAAAAACTACGATAAAAGATTGAAGAGTTTTTCTATATGGTTAGAATATTCTTTTGATGAATTAGACTCTCTTCTTAATGGCTAACCTATTTTACAAAGCAATGCTCTTGTATTCACAGTCCCTCAGGTAAAGCTGGCTAAATCTGTCGACACAGCACAAGAATGTAATTCCAAATCCTTTAAAGGAATTCCAAGCAATATACAAATAAATATACACCCAATTCTGTTTTTACACGGTCTTTTTTACACGATTTTGATTTGAAAAATAAAAATTTTATATTTCTTTAGAGTTAAGGGACCAATCAACTATTTTTGCATATGAACAATGTCTTTTTTTACACGGTAGATTGGTTCCAGAAAAAGTCGTTTAAAAAAAACAGGAAAAAAGACATTGATCATATGTTATTTGAAATCGTGCTAAATGGAATAAAGTCGTGTAACCATATATACAAATTTTAATTTTCAAACCGTGTTAAAACAGAATTAGGTGTATTTGTATTTCTTTAGTAGTGAGTAGTAGTTTCCCCAAAAAACTAAGACTTCAAGTTATCTGAGAACGCGACAATTTCGGGTGACAACATTGTTGTTGCAAATGGTCGTGTGAACAGAGCTTTGAGAGCTCCACTAAATGGTGCAATCAAGCTTAGCAGCAGAATACGAGTATCCGCAGCTCAATCGACGCAACTCTCCGCCCAGAAACAGACATGCAGTTGTCAATGGGAAATCGCCAGGACGACAGGCAGGCAATAAAAACAACAACAACAACAGTTGCTACACTGGATAAGAGCGATGGCAACAAATAGCAGAAAATGTAGCATTGAAATCAAAGCCGCAAAGCCTATCAAGACATTTTTAATGAGAGTTACGAGTACATGTCGCACATTTGGAACGTAACGCATAAAGAGAGGGAAAGAGGGAGGGCGCGAGAGGGGGGTAATGGGCTCCGGAATAGCCGTGTAGGTGGCGCCCAAAAGTGCACAGCGTCTGGCTGCCAGCGCGGCTCTTGTCTGCGGTTAGAGTCCAGACATGCTCAATGGCCAGGACTGGCTGACGGACTGTCTGACTGGCCTCGTCTGGTCCGATCCGGTCCGGTGTGGAAGGGGTTAGCCGGCTGGACTGTCTGTCTGGCTGCCTGTCTGTCTGTCTGGCTGCCTGACTGACTGTTTGACAACTGAGCGCTTGATGAATATATATTCAAATGAAACAAATGCAAATTGTTGTCATTCGTGGGACGTGCTCGGCACTCGATTGGTTTGGGTTGAAAATGTGTATATTAATACAGCGGGGCACAGCAGACTTTGCAACAGCAACAGCAACAGCAACAACAAAAAACAACAATAGAAGCACATGATTTTTGCGGTGTTTTGTGTATATTAATGCGGCTGGCAAAGTGGCTTTTAATTAGCATGTTGTCTGCGGCCACAATTACGACGACTAACGACGATGATGCCACTGAGAATGAGGATGAGGACGAGGACGAGGATGAGGACGACGATGAGGAGGCCTAGTTGAAGAACAAAATGCGAATGTGGCAGACGACGACTGGCGTTGATGGCAGCCCCCGTTTGTTGTTATTTTTACTGTTACTGTTGCTGTTGGTTGTCATGTTTGGTTTGGACTCGGCTCGGGGATTTGCACAGGTGCGCACAGTTTGAAGAGCGCATTAAGCCAGCCGCATCAGGAGGATTATGTGCGGCTAGAGTGAAGTGCTAGTTACATAGTTAGCTAGCTATCTAGCAATTGGGTTGGGTTCGGCTGGTTTGGTTTGGTTTGGCGGATTAAAACAGGAGAAGGAGGAGGGGGAGGAGGAGGAGTGTTCTCCTTTGGCTTTTCATGCGTAGCACTGGCTTATCAGAATATCCGCTTGTGCGCTTAACGTTTCTCTAATTGGATTTCAATATTGTGGCTGCCAGAAAAGCCTTTTCAACGGCAGCTGCCACACATCTGCTACTACTATGCATGTACATTTCAAATTAATGTAAAGGGTAAACTTTTTATATATACTTATTTTAATCATCTTGCAATTAGATTCCAGCGCTACAGCTTTTCATTGAATTTATTTATGGTTTTGATGATGATAGTAACGCCTTCATTTCGTTTTCTGAGAGTATGGGAAGCCTGAGCTAATGCAGCACTCCAAATGAATGCGAAAAGGGGGGAAAAATGTGGGTCTAAGTGCTCAGGCTATAGCTTTATTTCTCATGACATCATCAGCAGAATTGAACATTTTTATACCCTGTAGCCGTAGGGTAAAAAGGGTATATTAGGTTTGTGCAAAGTATGTAACATGCAGACGAAAGCAACTCCGATCCCATAAAGTATATATATTCTGAATCAGCATGACGAGAGACATCGATCTCGGTCCGTCCGTCCGTCTGTATGAACGCCTGGATTTCGGAAACGGTTGAGCGCACATTAACCAAACTTGGTATGTGGGCGCTCCTAGTCCCTAGGCTACACGAGTTTATTTTATTTTTTTGAATTTTCCCCCGCTACAGAATCTCGCCAATACCGTCCACATTTCAAAAGCTGCATTAACCAAACTTTGCACGCATCATTTTTATATAATTATCCAAATCGGTTAATTCTAGGAAAAGTTATTAGCGAAACAATTTCATTCCCGTACTGCATCAAGTTCGCTCTTCTTCTTCCTTTTGCTTCTGCTAGAGGTGCATATACCTCAGTGTCGGAAATTTACCTGGTTACAGGGTATTGCACAGTCGGGCTTGCTCGACTGTAGCGTTCTCTCTTGTTAGTTTAGATAGTTTATTTAGCACTTCTAATATTGACTTTTCTGCTTTTCGGGCATACTCTCTTTTTAACCATTTTATGAGATAAATATAATGACAAATACACAATTAATTTGAATATCCGATTACCCATTTAGTTAGCAACGCCAAGCTTCACTAAACATGTGCGGACCAAAGCCTTGCCTAGCCCATTAAAGTTTCAGAGATAATGGCACAGTAACATCGCTTGATTGGGACTGCATTCTAACAAACACACCCACACACACACACACACTCAGGTATATATGTGTGTGCATAAACAGTGAGTAAGTACTACTTATGGTAATAGGCACAAAATCAAAGATCCGTAAACACTTAAGCAGGTAATAGGCACTAAGCTGCGTGCTGCACAATTGGCCTATTAGTTCGACGCCCAAAAGCAACGACACGCAGTGGCAGCAACTAGTAACAACAACAATGGCAGCAACGATAGCAACAACAACATGTGCACATGACTAAAATTTACATTTTACGTGCCAGAGCCCCCTTATCAATGACATGCAATGCAGGCCAGCGGATTAATTTACCATCTTACAAGTCAACGCGGTCATTGGCACGATGGCGAGGCATGCAAACGGCCCGACCCAGCCCAGCTAGACCAGACTCTAGAACCAGCAAAAATTCTAGAGACCCAGCCCCCAGTCACAGTCACAGATATAGCCTCAGTCTGAACTGCCTGCCTAGCAATGTCAAGCGTTGTAATTTGAAGCTCCAACGATGCCGACAATGGTGACGATGCTGACGACGACGACAACGACAACGGCAATGTTGACTCCAACGTTCTCTTGAATTGCATTTTTCATTGTAAATATGTTGGAGCGCTAATTAGACGGCACGCAGGCGCACCAACAAAATTGGTTGCACTCGAAGCTGTGCTGCAGTTTCATTTGAAGTTGCTGTGAACGCTCTTGTTGTTGTTGTTTTTGCTGTTGTTGCTGTTGTTGGGGGCGAACAAACACACCCAAAGACTGCGTGAATATTTTTGCCTGCTAGTTGTTTTTATGATTATTAGGCATAAAGTGTTGTAGTTGTTGTTGCTGTTCTTGCTGTTGCTGCTGCTGCTGCTGCTGTTACCAGACTACTAAGTAACACGATTTTTCTTCATTATTATTTCTTGGCACGCGATCTGACAAGTTAGACGACTTGCTGCTTGTCTTCAATATGGACTTTGAGCCATTCGAGAGCGGACTGTTGCTGCTTATGGCATGCAATTTATATCAAAATATTTGTTGCTGTTGTTGTTGTTGTTGTACAGCAAGAGCATGTCACTGCAATACAAGCAGTCCTATTCATTAGAGCCAGCCAATGTATACGTGTATGCATAGCATATATACAACGAACATACTATATAGTAATATACTTGTATATAGAAGCAGAAAATCTGACAACTTACTCACTTGTTATTATCTGCATCCGTCAATTGTATTATGCTTTATTGTTGCTTCTCTTCAATGATCTGTAAAATGAAAATTGAAAAGTATGTTGTTAGCACGAACATTCTGAACGTATAATTCAAATAGGCGCCCAACGTGGGGCCAGCACTTAGCTGCTCAAACGTACAATACAAGTAGTTGGCGCTCACAAATAAATTGCTGCACTAACACCAGTTTGTGAGAAATTGCGAAACTTTTAACCTTACCCAGCTAGGCAACTATTATCTTAGAAGTTTTATTATTTTATGCACTCATCTGTTTTCGTTTTTTAGCGTTTTAACAAATAATTATTACAAAATATGTTGAACACGTACCGCAACCTTGACAAAGTTGCTAAACAGTCGTCTAATTTATAGCAAGCTCAGCTTTATAGAACTTTTATTTTTCCGTCAACACATTACTTATAATTCAACGCCCGCAATTAAAGTGTTGAAGATCTGTTCGCGATTATCTCTTGATCTCCACAACATATTCTATGCCTCCGCATTACTTCACTAGATAGATGGCATCCAAAATTTTTCCGCTCATGACTCAGCCTTGGCACAAATGGCTTAAGACTCTATCTTATTACACAAATAAGTTTTATATATGACCAGAATGGCAAGAGCAACTAAAAAGTACAATGTTTGTCATTCATATGCGACATCTGATTAGGCATACTTGTACTTAAGCGCACTTATCAGCAATAACAGCAAAAGCTAAGCCAAATTAAAATACCCAAGATGTTACCAGAAATGTTTATTTATTTTGTTTCCAAAGCTGATAGCACAAAGATCTGAGCTGTCCTTCCAATTGTTGTGATTTTGCTGCTAACCGGTAATCTTATCTGAAAGTAGCCTTCCGATAAAAATGCGACTAACCAACTAATCTAATCAAGAGAACGGTAGTCGGGCTTTCTGGTACTCAACGTGCGAGTATATTAGATGTAAGCTGGGTGCGCAACCTGGCTAATTGGCAAAGAAAATATAATGCAAAACTGAAATCGGAATTATATATGTATGTACATCCATAAATAATGCGAATGCACAAAAATACAAACGGGTGAGAGCCTGACAGACACATTGCATTTTCTGCTCCAAATACGCTTTTCACAATTTCCATGCACTCGCAAACATACACACACACACACACACATACACATGTATATATATTTATAAATATATATATATATATATATAATATATATATATATAGATATATATATATTATATATATATATATATATATAGATATAGATATATATATATAGATATATATATATTATTTATATATATATATATATATATATATATATATATATATATATATATTTATATACTTGTATACAAACTCACACTCACACTTTTCATTTTAAAGTACTCTACTCGTACTCTTCTATGTCGAACGTGGCGTATGCGCAATGTTTGGCAGCGCACAAACACTTGGCGAGCGACCGACAGACCGGCCGACCGACGGACCGACGGAACAACAGACCGACCATGCGACCAACCGACTGACAAACAAACACACGGCATCTTGGCCCAGTCAGTCAGTGTGCCAGCCAGCCAGCCAGTTAGCCAGCTAGCGAGTAAATCAGTGATTCAGGCATGAGCCAGCCAAGAGTGTTTGTAAGCATGTTTGAAAAAGTGAAAATTGCATTTGTTTTTATATATTTACGTTTACGTTTTTAATGCAGCAGAAAATTAAGTCGAAAATGTGGCAAGGTTGCGGTCTAGCTTTTAGCTTGGATGCTGCCAGCTGTTTTCAATCTGCACTCCAATCAGTGCGCGTGACATACTTGTAGTTGTTGCTCTTATACTTGTATGGTTGATAAATCGTGAAGTTTCTCTGAATTGCTGGGCGTTCATTGATTGTATAATTGTTAAAAATAATATCCATTGTTCCCAAAACAACGAACACGTATAAAATCAAAAATAAACCTCATTTGCAGACATTTCGGAGGAATGCTCGAGATAAGGCCGGACAGACGGTCGAACGTACAAACGGTAGTCGAGTAACTGTCTTTAAAGAATTGCATACAATTTTATTAATTGCCTAAGTATGTTAAAACGAATTGTTTTGCCTTTAAAATTGAAATGTATGTCCACAATTTAATTTAATGGCAGCTAATTGCAAATTGTTTCACTTGCAGACTCCACGAACTGGTCTGGTCATTGGCTGGCCAAGCACATGATATGTACACTCAAAAAAATTAATAAATAAAAAAGAATCGTATAAATGAATATTATCATATTCAACTTAATGTTCTAATATTTCATATTTAAATCAAATATAAACAACGTAATTTTAACTAAGAAAAAACATATTCAATTGCTACTTCAAATATGAATAATATGTCTTTGTCTCAATTTAATTTGAAACCATATTTCATTTAAATATAGTAATATTTACTTTATTATTTTAATATTTTACTCAACCTTTTTAAAAGGTTTTTGTAGTTGATTTTAAAATATATAAAAAATATATTACATTTTAATATTCAATTCGAATATTTTCAGATGTGAAATCGAGACAAACATTGACTAGAAATCCCAAGTTTGAAAACCGACTCTTATGCGGCATAAATACATAATCGTATATGGTCTTTAAATATGTGTCAAGTAAATGTATTCAATCAGCTATTCCTCAATTTTAATATCAATCAATCTTTATAATAAGAACAAGAGTTTGCAAAATTCATTTCTATTAAAGATGTTCTATATATGGAAATAAATGCATATATATAATATGCATTACAAAATGTCTTCATTAAAACCAAAAAGTTGAGATATTTTATAATTTTAAAAAAAGCAAACCTCGCCCACGTCATCACTTGTACTTAATTATAGTTTCACTTTAAGTACAATATTTTCACACTGAAATCGATATAGAAGTGTGCACACTGTGCTGCAAATTCGATGGTAACATATTTTTTATTAGTGTACTTATGTACTCATGTAGTTAAAAAACTGTTTTTTGTGAGTGTATGTACTATACTCGTATAGAGAGAAACATACACATACGAGTACAAGTACGTACTACGTCCGTAGAGTGTTGTCCATATTCAAATTTCAATGGACCGCTTTAAAGCTGCACGCAGCATCAAATATCAATTGATATAACAAATGCAGTTAGGGGCAGAGGACCGGACCCCCGATTGCCGCCCACCCTGATGGCCGAACCACATGAAAAACCATCATTAATTAAACACTTAATTTAAACAGCAATGTTGACCAGCAGTTTGCAGCGCGTGGGCTGCAAAACAAAGACAGGCTGGATCATTGGGAGCGTGAAGGCTGCTGTGGGGGCGGAGGGAAGGGGAGGGAGGTGGAAGGGGCTCTGTTTTTCGGTGCTGGGCTGCATGTGATGAGTGGAGTGCATAACAAATTGATGTGCAAACATTAGGCGGCATTTGAACGTTTTCAACACCAAATGGCAGTCACGTGAAATTGAAACCACAAAAACCGTAATGCAATATCAACAGCTGCCTGCAGCCGCTGCAACAACAGCAACAACTAAGCGGCAACATCTATAAGAGCAGCATTCAACGATGACCATAATGGCGTTAATAAATATTACAATTAACGTAGCTTTCATTTTTTTTTAATACGAGATAAGCGAATTAAAACAGACTCACAACAAAAACGCAGTTTCAAATTCCATCATAGAGAAGTGTGTGTGTAAGAGAGAGAAAAAGAGACAGAGAGAGAGAGCGCGAGTAATAAACAGCTAATGAGAGCTCTAAATTAGCAATTAAGAAATCCCAAATCACAATTACACATGAATTCGTCCACTTTTATGAAAGACTAAGAGACCATTCGCCTAACAATTTATTTTGCCAACAAAATCGTATTTCATTATCAATATAGTATTTGAACAAAACTAATAATTCGGCCTGTCACAAGTTGTAGCCACACGATTGCCTAAATAATAATGATAATTAGGATCTGCTATACTTACCTATTTTCTCTGAAAACCGCAACATTTCAGAGCACGAAGACTTTCAATTGTGACGGCCACAAATTATTTGAATTCACGAGAAAAGCGGAAAAGGGAAATGTAATACTACTTATGAAAACTTTAAAACAAATTGCAAAATAGTTGAATTCAACTATTGGTCTTGTAAACTAAAAACAAAAGAAAAGAAAAGATAATTTCTTTTTGGCAGATTATATATAAACTATTTATGTTCTGCCTTTAAACATTTTATCTTCAGTTTCTGCAAAAAATGATCGTTACATTAAATATTTTCAGAATTAATTTTATCAAGAAAGGCTTAATTATTTACAAAACTTACAAACTTTTGATATATAGTATTAAGGTATACTTGTATTGTTAAGAAGAGCAGAAACTGAAAGTAATGGAGTCGCAATATAAATAGCTATCATCGTCAAAAAGATTAACCCACAAGTCGTCTTTGGGTTAATTTTTAATTGATATATTTTTGTTTATTCTTAAATTTGTAACTTACTTGTAGAACTAATCTTAACAAGTTAATTTCAAATACATTTTTATTTCATTTTTTTTTGTATTAGCAAAGTATTTTTATTTTAAACTGTCTATTGTCGACAATCATTAAATTGGTTAAATAAACTTGACAATTAATTTACTAGATTTCATTTATGAATTTCAAATACATGGCAGCTTTACATACATTTTAAAATTTGTCGCCTAAATTCAAAACTTCAATTATAATTAAACACTCCATCTACTTATGAAAATCATTAAGCTGATATCTTCTCAAAACATTCGGATGAATTGTAAATTATAAATGATCAAGACTACGGCTAAGATAATGATTATGATTATAAAATCACATTCAATCTTCCGCTCCTCTCTCTGTCTTTTCCGACCACTAAAAGATCATTTTTTCAAATATATAGCATAATTTATTCATCAGCAAAAGGTCGTTAATTTCTTTTAATTTGTGATTTAAGAACAACTTGTTTCTATTCAATTATTTTTTATTCATAATTTTTTTAGTAAGGCAGTAGTTTTATTCGCTTGATCATCAAAAATTTCCCATTTATTTAGCTGAGATACT